CTCTACCCCTACCTACCTACACCTTCCTACCTCTACATACCTTCACCTACCTACCCCTACTTAGCCCTACCTACACCTACCTACCTACCTACCTACCTACCTCTACTTACACCTACCTACCTACACCTACTTACCCCTACCTACCTCTACCTACCCCTACCTACCTACCTACCTCTACCTACCTTCACCTACCTACCTCTACCTATCTACACCTACCTACCTACACCTACCTACCTACACCTGCCTACCTACCTCTACCTACCGACACCTTCTTACCTCTACATACCTTCACCTACCTACCCCTACTTAGCCCTACCTACACCTACCTACCTACCTACCTTCCCAACTACCTACCTACCCATCTACCTCTCTCTACCTACACCTACCTACCTACCCCTACCTACCCCTACCTACCTACCTACCTACCTCTCTCTACCTTCACCTACCTACCTCTACCTACCTCTACCTACCTTCACCTACCTACCTCTACCTATCTACACCTACCTACCTACCTACACCTGCCTACCTATCTAACTACCTACCTACCTACCTACCTATACCTGTAGTTTTACTGAGTATTGGAGCGACTTGGGCTTGTTAAATGTAGCAGGAAACACACCTGTAGCAAGTGAGGAGTTGATGATGTGTTACTGCAGGGTTAAGTGCCGAGGAACCTACCTCTACCTACACCTACCTACCTCTATCCACACCTTGATGAACTCTTCAACAGACTCTGGTGCGACTGAGCTCCAGATAGTTCCAGCTGTTCCCACAGACTGTAGCTCAATCTATGAATGCACCACATCCCAAATGTGTTAAACAGGATTCAGATCCAGACTCTGACTGGGCCGGTCCATCAGTTCCAGAACTCCAGATTCCTTGTTTTTGGTCAGATGGTCTCTGCACAACTTTCAAGTCTGCTGGGCTCATTGTCTGGTTGGTGTATGAACCCACGACCAATCAGGTTCAGTCCAGAAGGNTGGTGCTGTGCTGCCACTGCAGTGATGCTACTGTGGTGCTCCGTTGGTGCGGTGCTGGTACCGTTCAGCACTGCGCGTCTCCTGTGTACTGTGTTAACACTACGTTGGTGCTGTGTGCACTGCTTCAGATGAAGCCCAGCTCCGTCAGCACCACTGCACACACACACACACACTGAATGCTGCTGTTTGTGGGTGTTGGTGTTGTTCTTGGTTTTATTGCCAACTTTGACCCTATTTTATATTCTTATTTTTAGTACTTTTTTCCTGATGACTGTACACAGAGAGCTACGATTCAGTCAAATTCCTCATTTGCGAGTACAAACTTAGCCAATAAAGTTGATTTTGATTCTGCAGTGGTTCTGTTTTGGGAGGTTCCTGGTTCCTGGTTCTGCCTCTGTAAGGTCTACCTTATGTTACCTCCTTAATGACACAGTGAGCGTCTTAAAGAACCCCAACATCTGAATTCCTATCATCCTCATCCCCAACAGAACCTCCTGAAGCTGAACCTCCAGGTAATGAGCAGAACCTCAGCCGGTGTCGCTGAGGACTGTGGGTAATGTAGTGAGGTCAGACTGAGCACTGCTTCATCGACTGCTGCTGTTCAGACACCATTTGCTGCACATCAGACTGATAATGTTGCTCCACGACCTCACAACATGGTGACACACACACACACACACACACACACACACACACACACACACACACAGGCAGGATGGGACTATGTTGTTGTACTTTAATGTCACAAACTGCAGATTAACACAGACATAGATAGTAATTGAATAAATATGTAATAAATCTTACCTGTCCAGGTGTCCCCTGCCTTCACCCTGAGTCAGCTGGGACAGGCTCCAGCACCCCGCGACCCTAGTGAGGATTAAGCGGTGTATAGATAACGGAGGGATGGATGGATGTCATAAATCTTGTGTAATAATTGATAGTGTTCAATAATATTTCTTAAATAATATTTAAAATCGTGTTCAGCAAATGTTTGGCAGAGCTGCAGCAGATTCAATTTGCCCTCTCTGGAGTTTATTTCATCGAATGCTGTTTCATGAGATTTTTGTGCTGTTTGAAGTTAATTCAGCCGTTTTAATCAGATCAGCAGCTTCCTCTGAGGTCACAGGTCATCCTGTTTCTCGACTCACAGAGCAGAGAGGATATTTATCGATCTGATTGGTCCAGGTTGAATGTTTGTGTGTAAATCACAGTAACAATGTTGCTCTGGGTGTCACGGAGCAGCCAGTATGATCAATAATCAATAAACTCATCCAGCAGCGCACCGAGCAGAAAACTGAATTACAACCACACATTGGTCAAACATACCTGTCCCTACCTACCCCTACCTTCACCTACCTACCCCTACCTACCTACCCCTACCTACC